GCTAGTTTGAGCTAGTTTAGAATATGAAGGCAAAGTATGGTATCGTGGACGAAGATATCTATAACTTTGATGAGACTAGCTTTATTATAGGCAAGATTTTATCACAGTCAGTTATCACGGGCTTAGACAAACCAGGGAGAACAAAGAAGATCCAGCCAGGCAATCGTGAGTGGGTTACGCTGATACAAGGCGTTGGCGCAACAGGCACGCGTATCCCAGCGTTTCTTATCTTCGCTAGCAAGGTTCTAATCTCTACCTAGTTTATAGAGGATCTGCCACGCGACTAGGTAATCTAAGTTAGTCCTACTAGCTAGACGAACAACGATCTAGCGCTTGACTGGCTTTGTCACTTTAATTCCTATACGCGGCCTGTGGGGACGCATAGGCTGCTTATTATTGACGGCCATGAGAGCCACTGCTCGGTGGATTTCCGAGATCTCTGCGAAGAGATGAAGATAATCCTCCTCTGTATGCCTCCCCACTCGTCGCACCTCTTACAGCCTCTTGATGTGGGCTGCTTCTCGCCGTTAAAGCGCGCGTATGGTGATGCTATCTCGGTCTTAGCACGCAATCGCATCTACTATATTAGCAAAGAAACCTTCCTACTAGCGTTTAAAAAGGCCTATTATAAGGCTATTATACTAGAAAATATCCGCGGAGGGTTCTAAGGTGCTGGACTTTCACCGCACGATTATAACGTTGTTTTATCACAGCTTAACGTCATGCTGCGTACGCCAACTCCACCAGCGCAAGAGACTACTGCTTGGGAGCCGAAAACGCCGCGCAACGCGCGCGAAATAGAGGCGCAGGCTACGCTTATTCAAAACCGTATGCAAATCCAGCAAGGGTCTCCTACAAGTTCTCTTAAGGAGTAGATACAGCAGTTAAGTAAGGGAGCTTAGCAGATAGCTTATAATATAGTGTTAATGTAGGAGAAACTTAATCGCCTTGAAGCTACAATTACAGAAGTAACGAAGCGAAAAACTCGTAAGAGGCGCTACGTACAGGCAGAGGGGTCCCAGACAGTTGGCCAGATAGCTGATCAGATCGCTGAGGCAGAGGGTGGTAGCTATAATGATGGTGCAACGTCTGCGAAGAGGGTGCGTAGTGAACAGCGCTGCAGGCGTTGCAGCCAAATTGGACACAACTCTCGCACTTGTTAAGTAGAATTAGAGGATACAGAGGATAGCAATGCGTCTGAAGAATAATATCTTATTCTACTTAATAAAAAATATTGTGGTGGTGTTGCGCAATACTATTACAAAGATGTAATAGTTTAGGGAGGTGGCCCACATACTAGGGTGGCCCGCTTACTAGTGAAACACGTTAGTAAAGATAAAAGTAAAAATAAGATTTATAATTTCCTAGTGAATGGCGAAAGAGAGATAGTATTACTTCTTATAAAGATTAGTAAACTTAAACAAGCTTTTATTACTTACTAAGTATATAAATATATAAAACAAATAAAGTATAACGTGGTTCATAAGCGAGTCGGCCACCTAAGCGAGTTGGCCACTTTGTACTAGCGCGTTAACGTTAACACTATAACGCGTTATGTCTCAACTACACAATTATTTATTAATCTATTCTAAATCTAATCTTCGACTTTGTAACGGGCTGAACGCCCTTTGGATAGCTCCTCGATGGAATCTCGGGCCAAGCTGCGCGCGCACCATCTGAACTACGTTCAGACCGAGCAGCGCTCAGACAACGCGCTCAGATACTCTGGCATAACCTTTCTCTAATAAGTAAATAAACACCACGTAAGCAGAGTAGATAGCTCCTTATTAAATATAACCTCTTGTATACCTCGCGATTGCTCCCTAGAGCGCAGCCCCTTACATTTTGTATTCAATCCTAATTAGACATAAGCCTTAGGCAGACTGTCTTTTAACTAAGTTTTAGAGCGTGTTGTTAGTGCGAGCTAGTAACACAAAGTTAGTGCTGCAATAGGTACAAAAGGCCTTTAGTGCAGCGAGAAGGTAGACTATCGCAAGACAGTACACCTAGGGCAGAGCTTCGCAGGAAGTTCAGCTGTGAGAGACAGTAGGCGATTTAGTCGCCTAGGACCTGTCTAGGAAGTCCTACCGTGTCTTAGAAAGCCAAGCCGTAGGCGCAACGTCGCGTGATAAACTACCTAAAGGCCACTCGGGCCTAGCGTACAGTTAGCTAGAAGCGGACGTTGTAGTAAGAAGTCCTGTCGATCCTCTATTGGACAGGGTGCAGGCCGTGCGATTACTCTCAATTAGAGACAAGATCCCACAAGCGAGACGGCAAGACGCGAGTCTTCCTAGGGACGCGACACGACAGCAGCTAAACGCTGTTTAGAACCGGCTAGAAGAGAAGTACAGCCAAAGGTAAGCCCTACTAGTCCTCACTAACGAGGAGTAGGCCGCAGTTAAGGACTGCGCGAGCGGATTGAAGAGCGACTAGAAGCCCTGTATATTAGCAGGCAAAGAACGAGACGTCCAAAACGAATTAGGCAATGGAGATTAACGTTCTAAACTTGAATGTGGAAGAGCTGGCGGCGTACGCTGCTGCCAAGAACCAGGCAGGAGTATTAGATGAAGAGATCCTGCGCGAAATTACACAAATGCTTAGAGAGGATGGATGGAAGGAGGTAGCAATTAGGCCAACAATTGAAGCGGTCGCTAAACGATCGGCTGTTGTGGGAGGAAAGGGCTCACCAAGGCAAGGAGGCTCGCCGAAGGCCAACCAGGATGCCATGGCCCAGATGATGGAGCTGATGAATCGGTTAACAGCCCAGAACCAGGTGCTAACGGAACGGCTCGTGGCACTCGAGCGTGACCAAGCTGAGGGGCGTTCAGAGTCGTCCCATAGAGCCTTCACGCCTCCCCTAGCAGCAGCCGCAATCGCCGAGCCAGCTGCGCGCAGGAACAAGTTCCCGCACCTAGAACCATTTGATGGAGATTAAACAAAGTACGTAGCGTTTAAATACAAGACTTAAGCTAAGCTCTAGCACGAGTACGAAGGAACTTCGAGCCTCGCTTAGATCGAGTACGTGGTTAGTAGGTGTACGGGCAAGGCAGCGGATGTACTTCTACCCTAGGCAATACAGAACCAGAGTAAACGCCACATTAAAGACCTCTAGAGCTTTATGGACCAGCAGTTTAACGACCCACACTAGAAGTCCAAAGCACTCGATCGCCTTTTAACTCTCAAACAAGGCAAGCTCTTAGTAAGAGACTATCACATGGAGTTTAACCGTCTTAAGATTCAGTCAGGCGAGCAGTTCGGCGAAGCAGCTAAGAAGAGTATGTTCTTAAAGGGCCTTCACACTAAGCTACAGGAGGCTCTTGCTACGATTGATGAGAATCTATCGTACGAGCAGCTAGTTAATAAGGCAGTAAGAACGTCCAACAACCTCTACCAGGTAGGTCTCGTTAAACTGCGCGCAACGAGCTCCTGGGTGGTAGATCGCCCTACTACGACAACCGCTTAACACGAAGCTAGTCCGGACGTTATAGACTGGGAGCCTTTGAAGGTTAATTAGGCGCGAGAGGC